CTTTCATTTATATAGGAATGTCTCCGAAATTAAAAATCGTAGAAATTTAAACGAATTATCATTTTAAAGGACAGAATTTTCTCTATTTTTTTTTCAGCGTATTGTTAATAATTAATTAACAATTTGTTATAAACAATTTTTATAAATAATTTTTTAGGAAGTAAATTAGTATTATTTTGCAAAAACAAAAAAAAATTCGGATTATATATCCGATTTATTTATAAAATTACATAAATTAATAAATAATTAATAAACAAATTTTTTTTCCACATTATTAATAGCCATCTTTTTATTTACATGGGAATATCTCCGGGAATAAAAGTCGTAAAGATTTAAAACAAATACGCAAAGTAAGCTTAAATTAAGCGCAGATTAAGCGCAGGATAAGCGCAGAGTAAACGCTTATAAATATCTCCTAAACAAATAATTTTTTAACATACATGGATCAATACTTCTTTTTTTATAGAAAATTCCGAGCTGTATCTACCAATACAATAAAAAATATTCTATTTAAAAAAAAAAAAAAAAACGAAGTTGTCCTTTGCATGTTCTTCACGCATCCACCTGCAAAAATATTATTACTACCATATTATGGATCCCATCGTATCGTACGTCATTTGTTAATAAATTTAATTCATATCACTAAAAATAAGGGAGATATTTCAAGGCGATCAAGGTTATTGCCACCACTCTCTATATTTTTATACGCATATAAGAAAGTAGATAGAGTCACCTAAATTGAAGATCTTTCGTAACGATAATATCATTAGTAAAAAAATAATCAAATGAGATTAATCACCTAATTAATTAATTATATAATTAACTAACGACTGAATTAATTCATTAACAATGATTTACTGATCTTCCGACGATGACGTTTCCAGTCTGTTTCGTCAGATAACGCGTTTAATGTATGTATTATATATGTATATAAAAAAAAAAGAATATATCTAAATACTATCGGGATACAGCAAACATTGAAAATATTGGTTCAAAGGGGGTAAATGTAGGGGGGGGTAAAAAGGGGGGTCCATATCACAGAGAAACAGACACAAGTTGCAGGAAAAAAGTTGTTTCGACACCGAACTCGTTAGGTGCGCTCGATATAGATATAATTAATTAATTGATTAATTAATTATGAGTTTTCTTTTTTTTTTTTTTGAAGGGTGTTCTTAAGGGTTAAGAAGAGCAAAAAAAAGCAAGAAAAAAAGGAGATAATAAAATAGAGTCTTCATCGAAGAACGTTATCTCGTTCTTACGATATTGGAAAACATATGTATGGGGGGTGGTTTTAAAAAGGGGTGGGTGGGTGGACACGATCGAAAATTCGAGCAAGAGAAGGGAGCTCTGTATTATATATATATATATATATATATATATATATATATATATAACAAAAATATATTCTTTTTCTTTAGTGAATACATATACATATGCATATGTATATATATGTATATGTATTTATTATTATTTTTCATATTTAGAAGCAGCTCCGTTTCTCGTACTATCGATTTCGAATAAAACGATCGTTCGATTCGTAGAGAAGAAAAAGGTTTACATCGGATTTCGTGGTTTTTTCTTTTATTTTTTTTTTTTTTTTTTTTTTTGGGCGGTGGGGTGGAGGTTGTTGGGCCATAAGAATAATTGTTTTGCCGATTCGAACGAAAATGGTGGCGTCTTTTTTACTTTGTACATATATATTTTTTCTTTTCTTTTTTTCTTTTCTCTCTTTGCGATCATCGTCGAAATCGTTTAAGAGTACGAGCACGCTTTATTTACATCTCGACTCGCCGTCATCGCGTTGGTGGTGTGCGTGCGTGCGTATTTTTAATGTGTACGTATGTATATGCGTGTAAGTGTGTATGTATGTTTCTCTCTCTTTCTCTTTCTCTCTCCTATCCTCTCAAATTTTGTTTAAAATTGTAAGAATCGCCGATTTCGTCCACCGGGACTGTATATATATATGTAAGATGCGATCGACGATTATTATTATTATTATTATTATTATTTTATTATAATAATTATTATATTAATTATTATAATTAATTTTTATTTTATTGTCAACAGGTATAAATATTTTGAAAATAAATGATTTTAAAAGTCGTCGATCGATCGTTGACATATATACAGAGAGATGCTTTTGTTGATGTATTTTTGTTGAAGATTCACATATTATTGTTATTAATATTTATACGTGATATGTATATATACACATATATATATACATATATATATACACATATATATATACATATATATATACACATATATATATACATATATATATATACATATATATATATATATATATATATATATATATGTATGTAAGAAGAGAGTGGTATGTATACGTGAGAGAGATACGTATATATATATATATACATACATATATATACATATATATATATATATATATATATATATATATATAATATAGGCGTACACGTGGGATAATTTCTATATATACGTATTATCACTCGTTGCATGCGCTCGTAGCATAATGGGATAGGAAATACAAGCGGTGATTTGGATTGATAATAATACGTTACTGCAAATTACCACACATCGTTTCAAAAAACTGGATATATAGGCCAAAAAGAGATATATGATATGTATATATATATATGTACACTTATACATATATACATATATATAGTATAGGAACTTATATCATTATATATTTTATATATATATATGGACATGTTTGTATGTATAAAATATATATATAGTGTTTCTACACTGTCTATATAAATATGTATATAGGTATATGTATACGTGTATATATATATATATATATATATCAAAGGTAATACGTATCTACGAGAAGCGGTTGAGTGTCGCGGCGAAGCTTCACTCTCTTCGAAAAGTAAACTCGATTATTTTTTCTATTTTTTTTTTCTTTTTTTTTATTATTATTCGAATGTTAGTGCGCGACGTTTTCTTTTTCTTTTTGCGATCAATATATGACGAGAACGTATGAATTTCATTTCAATTATTATACATTTAATGAATAAGTCGAATCAACGTGCTCGTCGGATGATCGTCAAGGATGAAGGATTTATAAAGGGTTAAAAAGGTAAGAAAAAAAAAAAAAAAAAAGAAAAATAAGAAAGTTAGGTAGAAATGATTGTCTCGTCGAATTATTTTTTCCTTCGGGTTATCAAATTCGTTTCTTTTTTTTTTTCTTCTTCCGATTGTTTTTTCTTTTCTTTTTTTTTTTTTTTTTTTTTTTTAATGAAAAAAAAATAATTCGCAATCGATGAACGGACAATTTTCGAGTGTAAAGCGTAGCGTGCCGTACGTCCATTTATCTCTTTCCGTGAGGTGTCTCTTTTTTCTTTTTTTTTTTTTCTTTTTTTTTCCTTATGGGAGAAAAATAGAACAGAGCTCGAAGATTATTATTAAGGATACGAAGGAAATACGTGTAAGAAAAGAAAAGAGAAAAAAAAAGTAATAAATAAATAAATAAACAAGACAAAAAAATTGAAAAGAAAAATTTTGCCCGGTTGGCTCGCGTTTTAGAGTACTCGATTGATTTTATTGATTCATTTAGAAAATATTCGTTCGTCTTTCTTTTCTTCGTTGTCTTTCTTTGTTGAGATAGAGAGGATTTTCCTTCTTTTCTTTTTCTTTTTTTTTTTTTTTTTTTACTTTTTTCAAAAGAAATATCTTCGGAAAAAGGTCGGGAATCAACAAAGTTCATGCATTAATCTTACTTACTTATTTATTATTATTATTTTTTTTTTCTCTTCTTTCTTTCAGGAGGATGCAGGATTGTTGAAAGGGAAATTGAGGGTATTAGTGTTTACTTGTAATATTCATAAGTATGTTTTATCAGGTTGATTGGAAAGAAAATCGAGAGGAAATTTCGAGGCTTTTTTCTCTTTTTTCTTTTTTTTTTTTTTTTTTTTTTTTTATGTGAATTATTTACTGGATAATAAGGAAGTTGTTCTTGTTTTCTTTTTTTTTTCTTCTTTTAAGATGGAAGATAGAAAGAGAGAGAAAGAGAGAAAGAAAGAGAGAGAGAGATAGAGAGAGAGATAGATAGATAGATAGAGAGAGAGAGATATAGATAGATAGAGAGAGAGAGATAGATAGAAAAGAGAGCGAGCGAGCGAGCGAGCGAGTGAGCGAGCTTGCGAGCGAGCGGGCCAATCGAGCGTTACCTTGGAATGTTGCGCTGAGGTTGGTGTTATTGGTGGGGTCTCTTCGGCATCCACGCTTGCTGCATTTGGTAATCGCTGCTCTTGCACCGAGGCCAAGCTGAAATGGGTCACAATCAAATGATTTACCAAAGATTATAATCTTTCTATCATTTATACATTTAAAATATACCCATTGATCTTTTTCTTTTCTCTCTTTCTCTTTTTTTTTTTTTTGTTTTCCATTTACTATGATAATAATTCACTTTGATTGCATCTTTTTATTATCTTAATCAATTATGTGTTGATGTGACAGTTTTATCAATCAATTGTTATATCAATTATTATTATAATTATTATTATTATTATAATTATTATTATTATTATTATTATTATTACAATTTTATGCTGATGATGATATATTTAATATTCGTTTGTATAGAAGATAATTGAGAATGATTAATATTTTAATAATGTATAAATCACTTCAAAATGTTCTATTTATTAGATAACTAAACGTTATTAATATACAATAATATTTGGTTGCGTTATAGTGAGATAAGATTTATATTTTATTATGATGACTCAGCTCTATGGACAGAATTATATCCAATTACAATTTTGACTGTTAGCATTGTCAGAGTAACGAATTCGTGTATATACATTACAATCCAAATAATATTTGTATATATGAAAAAGGATTATCCTTAATGTCCCACATCATTGCTACTTTCAATAACATAGATCTATTACGATCCAAATAATAGATCATTTCGTAGAGGACGAAGGAACGATATACGCACCGTTTCAGCGTAACGAGTGTACCAGTTAACTTCTTGCAACGTCTCAAAGCAGACTCCAGTCTCTCCGGTTCTTCCTTTAGGAACTTCTCCTCGCGTACGATCTTCTCCATTTCGGAACTTAGAAGACCCTTCATACCTTCTTGTAGACTTGGAAATCGTACCTTTAAATCCGCCACGGCTTTGCTGAAACGTAGAGGTATAATTGAAAATAATGTCTATTGAGTATAGCTTCTTTCTTTCTTTATTTCTTTCTTTATCTCTCTCTCTCTCTCTCTCTCTTTCTCCTTCTCTAATAATAATAATAGATTTTCAATATGGTAAATCTATATTCTTTGTTTACCTCGATTTATTTAATATCAATGCCATATTCTCGACGTCTGACATATTCACACGTGTTTTTCTATTGATGACATTACCACGAAGTTCCTCCACCGTACTCTCGAGCTCGCTAAAAATTTCGTTAATTAGAGATAATATTTATTGATAATCATTTATAATGATATTATTATGTACATATATATATGGTATATATAATGGTATTATTATATGTATATATATATATATTGGGACATACATATATGTATTTACTTAACATATTATTATAAATGGGAAATGAGAAATTTTACATGAATTATTTTCATTTCCTTTACGTATACAAAAAGTTTTGCTCATCGATAATCTGCCAAGTAAATACATAATCAATACATAGAGTCGATCAAAAGTTCTCCTAAATAATATTAAAAATCAATTATTCTTTATGTAGATTTTTTAGGCAATGTAGTTAGCCTTGTAGTTTTATAGATCTGAAACGAAAAAGAAGTCTCTCTAAAAAGTTACAACGAGAAAGAGGTGTAATTGATTTTTAAAAGTCACATAAGAATTTTCGACCAGTTCTGTATATAAATATTTCAAATAAAGGACTCACGTAAGATCTTTTTCCAGCCTAAGCATTTCCTGTTTGTAGAGGTCTTCCTCTCGACTGAGCCGAACTTTCTCGGCATCACCAGCAGCCCAAGCTGCGTCTCCACCGGACAATAACATTGCTCTAAAAAAAGAGAAAAGAAAAAAAAAGAAAAAAAAAAAGATAAAAACAATATGTCTACGTAAATTCATATCATTTATCATTTATAAACGTTATTATCTATAAAGAGAAAATCGTAAAGTTAAAAAACAAGAAAATGATAAATAGATATAATTACCTGATAGTGATAAAAGTATCCCTGATAGTTTCTCGTACAGTATGCGCCTGAGATTGTGACAAACGTCTGAGATTCTTTACGTCCTGTCGAAGATCCTTAGCCTTTTTCTGTAATCCTCTTAATTGATTATACATCTCTGGTGTCAAGGCCAAATCACGATAAACGTATTGACCAGCTACCAAGGCTGCTGGCTTAGGTGGTGGAGTTGGCTTATGTCTCTCTCGTTCTGAAATCATGCGCGTTTTTCTTATTAATTATCGTTAAAGAAAAAAAAAGAAAATCGGAATAAATATATATATATATAAATAAATAAATAAATAAATAAATAAATAAAAAAATAAATAAAGTTTTCGATTTATACATATACATACTACGAAGCCTTTCCAGACGTATAAATGACGACATAATAATATATATAGGTATAGTTGTTATTATCGTACATATGTGTATATTTATACGCAGTGTTATATAATTCAACTTATACTCAACTTTATCTCGAATTTGTCTTATCGAGATGGAGATTTAAGCAGATAAAACGAGGGAAAGGATGACAAAGGAAGAAGACAATGAGTAATCCCATAAATGACGATAATGTTACGAATTCGAACACAGGATATTATTATATATATACATATATTATAATGGCGATGATATTAAGCGTACAAGAGTTTTTTTGTATTCTTTACCTTGCGAAGACATCCTCGGCAACGTGGAGGATTTGATTGCCGGTTTCGTAGGCTTTGTATCCGCTAGTCGATGGTAGGCATTGGACACAATCGTACGAGAAGGTGTTAGAGATATTATTATTATTGTGTTAGTTAGTCTCTCTGTTACGTTGAGAGAAATCATTTCTTCTACGTGAAATGCTTCTCGAGTTCTTTTTTTTCTTTTGTTTTCTTTTTCTTTTTGTTTTTTTTTTGTTTTTTTTTTTTGTAGTTTTTTCTTCTCTTTTTTTCCCTTCTCCATTTTTTGCTCGAAATTTTATCTTTTTTTCTTCTTATTAAATTAATATCAAGCTCATTTATTAATCTCCTTTGCATTATTTTTAATTAATAAAATAAATGAAAGATTTGGAAGAAGAAAGACAGCAGGCTTCGTTCGAATATTTTATTAAATTCTTTGTTCAAATAAGATTAAAAAGTTTGACATATATTTTGCAAACATAATTATTGCTTGGATTCAATCGAAAGTAAATTGATAAGTGAAAGAGTAATACACTTTTATGTAAAGATTAGTTATTTTTCTTTTATATATATATATACTCAAAATAATTTTCCAACTACAAATAATTTTCCAAAATTATCATAAATTAAGAACAAAAAAATTAATTACTATGATCTTGCGAAAAATTCTTCATTATTTATAAAAAAAATTCGTATTTCAAATGACTCCAGAAAACTTTTATATAAACATTTAATTAATTGAAATAAAAAGAAATTGAATTAAATAATTAGTAAAAGAGAAAAAAACAAAACAAACTAATTCTAATGCAAAAGGATTTAAAAATCGTACATAATGTAGCAAATATATTGTATGTAGATACTTTAACGTAAGAGATCAATCTTTATCGAGCCAAAAAGTAGAGAAGGAGGGAAAAAAAAGAAGAAGAAGAAGAAGAAGAAGAAGAAACTAAGGTTCACCTTTTTGTGTTTACTTATCGATAAACATGCTTTGAAGGAGATTGAAAATCTCGTGAGATGATATGTAACGTGTGTGTGAGTGTGTATGTGTGTGCGTGTGTGTATTTATATGTTATATGTATGTGCGCGCGTGTGCGTGTGTGCATTGATTATTACCTGCGTGTTGGGGGGAATGTTGTTTTGGTGAATTCATATCTGGCGGCTCGTCACTGAAGGACACTGACTTTTCAAAGGACACCGACTTGTCTGTAATAGATGTCGATCAAACAGATTTTTCTTTGCGTGGCTCTCTTGTACGTATGTTGATATAAATATAATATCTTTTTTTGTGATTAGAAGAAGGAATAATAGCATTGTGGTATACATATGTATATGTGCGATAAAAGATAAAAAAATGATGTGCGTATAAAAGAAGAAAACGATCGAAGCGAAACAAATCATATCGAAGGAATCGATCTATCCAAGCTCTTTAATCGGGGAAAGTACGAAAATTCATAGAAAATCTAATTAACTAGATTTATTGCTCTTTTTTTTTGTTTCTTTTTTTTTATCATTCATTCGTTCTTCTATATATATATATATATATATTCTACGTGTTTACGTACGCAAGTGCACACTTTTTCTTTCTTTTTCTTTTCCTTAATTAGAAAAGTTTACATTCGTATCCAATAAAAATATTATCTAATAAAAAGTTAAAATTATTTCTACATATATTTGTTTTAGTACTATAGATACACACACACACACACATATATATATATATATATATTTTTTTTTTTTTATAGAAAAAGTGCGTACATCGTATTAAATAATTTGTTCTAATGCAAACAAGACATTTCCTGATAAAAAAGGATATAAAGATTAGATTCTAAAAGGTCAAAATTAAAGATTAAGATAATATCGACGTATAAACTATTCATGAATACTAAACAGCGCGTGAATACTATTAGAAGACTCGATCGTCAAAGTTCAAAGGGTTAAAACGCGAATAAAGAGACAATAATAAATTCATTAGATTTTTCGATCGGGAGGTGACGACATGCATGATAGAAGAAGAAGAAGAAGAAGAAGAAGAAGAAGAAAAAGAAGAAGAAGAAAAAGAAGAAAAAAGAAAAAAGATGATAGAAAACAACCATTAAAAAAGAAAAACGTGAAGGAAGGCGTAACGATTGGTGCTGATAGATTATTACAATGACAAATTGATTGGAATTATGTAAAATTTATGTGCCGACAAAAGCGTATAAAATCAATGTAATATGTAAGAAGAGAGCATTGCTAAAGAGAAACGTGGGCGGGTTAGGGCGGGGCAGAAAAAAAGGAGAAAGAAAACAATATGTAAGATAGATAGAAAGTAGAGATACATAGATAGATAGAGATAGATAGAGAGAGAGAGAGAGAGAGAAAAGAGAGAGAGAGAGAGAGAGAGAGAGAGAGAGAGAGAGAGAAAGAGAAAATTGAATATTCGATGTGTGCGAATCGTGCAACGGTGATCGTGACAGTTTTTATAGCAGCAGTGCAGCGTTCAAAGCTAATGTGATAGATATATATATATAATGAATAATTGATAGGTCATCATGTGAAGCGCACCTTTGCCTAATTTCGGTGGTTTAACGTCTGTCCTTAAGAACGAGTCATCTGTAATGGTAGTTTGACAGACTTAAATGTTGCAGCGGAGTCGCGTCGTCGATTCGTGAGAGTGAAAGAGACAGAAAACGAGGAGATATGTAGGTACATACATACATACATACATACATACATACATATATATATATGTATGTATATATATATATATATTTATACATATATTAGTTATATATGTATATTTAGAAAAACATCTATTTTTATAAATGATTAGAAAATATTTATCTATGTACGTATATATCTCTATGTGAACAGATACTAACATTATATAATAATAATAATAATAATAATAATAATAATAATAATAATAATAATTATAATAATAATAATAATGGTGACGATAATGATAACATTAATAATGATAATAATAAAATACACAAATGTGATAATGTTAATAATAATAATAATAATAATAATAATAATAATAATAATAATAATAATAATAATAATAATAATAATAATAATAATAATAATAATAATAATAATAATAACAACAACAACAACACTAATAATAATAATAATAATAATATTAACGTAAGCAATATTTAATATTTAATAAAATTTAATGATAATGACAGAACTAAATGTATGTACTTATAATATTAGCAAATCATAGGAGAATAGAAGATAGAGAAGATGAGAGACACACCTGGCAGTGAGGCAGAGCTGGAGCTAGAATGTTTGTCGAACTCATCCCCGGCGCCTGGTGTGTGTTT